ACTAGAACTGTTGATTTGGATCTGGACCTTGATGCTGAAGTAATTAAACGTTATAGATTTTTTTAATGAATAAGTAATAGCATAGCTAATTGTAAGAAAATTAGTAAGTGATAATGAATAAAGAGGTGGTCATATGTGGTTATCTATTTTAAATTTAAGATACGAGAGGGAAAGAGTGAGTTTCAGAGAGGAGGGTAAGTGGTTCCATTGGTTGATTGCAGAGGGATAAAATGAATTTTGGTATGTAAAAGTATTACAAGTGATTGGAGATAAATTGCCTTTGTTGTTAGATCTTAAGTGGTAATTTGAGGGAACTTTAGCTAGAAGAGGGTGAAATGGAGTGAAATAGAGGCCTTACTTGACTTTAAATAAAATAATCATTTTAAGTTTAAACCAGTGATGTGATAGGGAATGAATGTTGGACTGTAGAAGTAGTTGTTGGTATGAGACCGTCTACCTACATGTACACCATAATTAGATACTTGTTTGTATAATGTATGTAGTGGGAGATATATATATATATGTTTTAACATTTCTCTACATCATGTAAAGTATCAGGCTCTATGTGGTACAGCTTATTATTATTTTAATTGGTTTGCTTTGCTGCCAAAAATATTGTTTATTCTACAACCACTTGTATAACAGCTTTTTTAATGATGTGGAAACTCTAAGCTACATGTACATAATAAGAATAAGAATTATTAATAAGTCCTTATTATTTTGTATTTTAGCAATATATAGGATGCCAAGTAAACATAGCTCCAAAATTTTGTTAAATTAGTCTGGGAATTTCATTTTGACAAATTTTACTAAACATACTGTTCTACTTTATATACATGTGTAATAGAAATGGCAACAATTTTGACGGCATATAAGTAATGAAAATTCGGAGCTTATTATACATGTACATGGTATATCCATATGAATAAGCCAGACATAGACAATTAGTGTGTATGAGTGCCCATTGCTTTCATTCACAGAACCCACCACTTACTCATGTACATGTACATGTAGTACCTAGTACTATATAATACAATAGTATTTTCATTTTAGGTAAAGTCAGCTTGGTTGAGTTTGGGTGGTAAGCTCGGCGGAAGTGGAAAGAAGAATGTGACACTTTCAGTGTCTTTAGGAGCACTGACTCACATCAGGGCAAACATGTTTGATGTGTTGTATAGGAAGGGGTACACTGTTGATAAGAATCATCCTGTCATCAAGGAGGCCGTTGCTAAGGGTGGAGTCCTTTTTGTCATATCGTCAATTTATGTGTCTGATAAAGTTGAAGTCACAGTGAGTGTATAGTATTTATTAATAATTTTATTAATAGCATCAAGCCTAGTAGTATTTTACATGTACATTTATGTGCTGATTGTAATTTTTTTTTTGCACTCACATTAAATCAAATAGGTTTAAAAATATTATTTTAGTGTGTATAGGGGTTACCCAAAGCATGAAGACTAGCATGCATCAATGAGCCTAAATTGTATTAACAATACTGTGTGTAACATGTATACTATAAAAACTGCCTGTAGTGTTTACGGCACTGTTATATAGTAAAGGATGTGTAGTAGCTAATGGCAGTATAGTGTCTGTAGTTATTACTAGGAACAGTTAAGAGATTGATGGATTCAGTGATATATTAATTCATTTTTAAAGCCTTTGACCCTGTACTACATACAGCCCTTAATCAAAAAATACACAAACTACCTAAATAGCAATGACCAGACTTTATTTACATTTTAGTGATTAACTGATTATAATATAGATAAAGGAGCAGGAGTCAATGAAGGCTAATGTTAAGGAGGATGAAGGGACTGATGCCTCTGCAGGTGATAAAGGAAAAGATACCTCTACCAGTGATAAAGAGAGTGGTGTTGAGAAGGAAGCTACTAATATCATTAAAGATGTTACCAAGGCAGCAGTGGGTGCTGCTAAACCTGATGAGGATGAAACAGCTACCGGTGATGCAGATGTTAGCACTACTGGATTAACTAGTAAGGAATAATTAATTTGTGGGCTTCTGTGTAGCTAGTATACTAAGTTACTAACCCATTTTATTATTGTACATTTACGCATTGATGTTCTTATGCTGTATAGAAAGTTTGAGCTGATTCTGACTTCAATTTTTCAAGTTACGGTCACTTTAAGAAGAAGCCTAATATCTGAAAAATACCCAAGGCTATAGCCCATGGTTTTTCCAAAAAACGGTTCCCAAATCACCCCCATTTTTTATTACATTTTCTGATGCATATTAATGTCTTTATGCTGTGTAAAAGTTTCAGGTGATTTTGAATTCAATTGTTAAAGTTACAGCCATTTTAAGAAAATGCCAAAAACCTAAAAAATATACCCAAGGCTATAGCCCAATGTTTTTTTTCCAAAAATGGCTCCAAATTCACACTCATTTTTTTATTACAGTTTTCTGATGCATATTGATGTCTTTATGCTGTGTAGAAAGTTTGAGCTGATTCCGACTTCAATTTTTCAAGTTATGAACATTTTAATACAAAATTTAATTCCAAAATTTAAAAAATACCCAAGGCTATAGCCCATGGATTTTATAGAAAAATGGTTCCAAAATTACTCCAAAATTTTATTACAATTTTTGATACATACAACTGTGTTAATGAAAGTATGCTTTGTAGAAAGTTTGAGCTGATTCTGACTAAAAATTCTGATAATAATAATTATTAATTTTCATGTATATATTAATTTTAGTAAGTAAAAGGGACAAAGCATCTGTGATTGGATTTCACGTCATGAAAATTGATATCACAAAAACTGGCGAGCTTGTACCAACTGCCGAGAGTGGGTTTTCACACCATCACAAGGTGAGAAAAATATCATTAATCAATTATAATTATTTTACCATGTACATGGTCCCTTCAAGCTTTCGTCAATCAAAAAAATAGTCTTTCTCTTTTGTTCAAATTAATATTTATTGTGTAAAATTTATCATTCTACTGTACTATATAAAATGCAGAAGCACTTGTATTTGTCAAACAAAACACTCTTACAATATAAAGCTTACTAAAATTTTAGAAAAAATTGTTACAAAAAGCTGACAAAAATTAACTTTTAAAACTGAGTACATGTACATGAGTACATTACTGATTAAAAAATAAAACTATTGGTATGTTTATCCTAATATAATTCTTTATTGTGTCATTTTGTAGATTCATTTTCCCTTTGCTGATACGTTTACTGCCACGCCCAAAGAGGGAGGAGCTTCAAAGCCAAGTGACGATAAAGAAGGAACTACTACAGGTAAAACTGATGATAAAGGAGGAGACAAGGAACCAACCAAAGAGGAAGCAACTCCTGATAATAAATAAATTTTTGTGAACTTTTGATGCTGCTAACTATTGTGCTATTGTGAACGCTTATTGCTTAATTTTGCTATAATTATTTTCATTATCAATTCTTATAATTTAATTGATTTATTAATAATTAACAATAATAATAATAATAATAATAATAATAATAGCAATATTAATATTTGATATAATTTATACACAATATTATTCATTGTTAATAGTCTGAACTACCTCCTCGGGGACAACAGAGATTTCTTCTAATCCAAAAGCATTAGAAAACACATCAGTGATCGTCTCCTCGGACCCATTCTGCCTCGACTCAGACCCATTCTGCCTCGACTCAGACTCATTCCGCTGAGACTCAGACCCGTTCCGCCAAGACTCGGACCCATTCCGCCTAGACTCAGACTCGTTCTCACACTCAATGTGTACATAGTCCAAATGCATTGGGTCACTGGTAGAATACATTGCAGGTGAACTCAAAGTGGGCAAAGACACAACTGGTAGTGACGCAGGAAGCAAAGACTCCTCTATACCAATTTCTGACACAGTGCTGATGGTATTTGAAAGTGGGCGTGGTACATCGACCATGTAAATGGTTTTTCGAGACGGTGACTCCGATAATTGAAAGGGGGCATCATCGGGGGGTGTGGAGGGTCGTTTAATTCGTCTCTTTATTTTTCCACTCCCGCCCCCTCGTAGTATGGGGGCTTTTGAATTATCAACAAGAAGAGAGGAACGGGATCTCGGGCTGGGGCTGTGATAAGAGCCGGTGTTCCAGTCGTCTTGTGGTGTTGAGTCTCTCCGTGATCCATTGGACGGGTCCATTAAAATGGGCGTCGTCGGTCGGTTAGGATTGTAACTGGAGTCGTCTTGATCGAGCGACGAGTGAGAGAAAGTGTCCATGTAGGATAGTGGGGGACGACCTATTGATGATAGAGTTGAGGTGAGAGAGGGTGTGGCTCTATGTACAGGATGTGAGGACTCTCTCAATGGGAAAATACTAAAAAATAAAGAGACAAAATTATAATATAATTTAGAACATTAAGCCACATGTACAAGAACTTAAGTGGCATATGTAATGTACATGTACATTGTAATTTGTTAGCAACATACATTGTGTACATGTACATGCATGTACAGTTCAAGTATCATATGTAGTGGGGAGATGACAAGTAGGAAGGGACTTTGTCCTTTATTCTCTTTTTCATACTCTAACTAACAATCTCTCTCTCATCTTCTCTATTTCCTCCCTCCCTTCCCTCTTTCCACCCTCACTCCTCTCTCCCTCCCCCTCTCCCTCCCTCCTCTCTCCCTCCTCCCTCCCTCCCTCCCTCCCTCCCTCCCTCCCTCCCTCCCCCTCTCCTTCCCCCCTCTCTCTACCTATATTTGTCCATCATTAGTTTATCTAAGAGACCCTTCAGGTTTGGTAATGTCCTCCTAATAGTTGATTTAGATGTGTTGTACCCACAGTGCTGTCTTATCTGTCAATGCAAACCAATACATTAAACAAAAAGCAATTATACACAACACGCGTACATGTACATGTACATGTACAAGTATACTAAATTATTGAATTAATATGTACCTGTAGTATGTCTCGCCACAATAAGTATAGGCCAAATAAATAAAGAGCCTTTTCAGTACCTTTGACATAGAGAGGGAACCTGAAAGGAAGAGGTGGGGGAACAGGAGAAATAGGAAAGTAGAACAGGACAATTGAAATAATAGGACATTATAGGACATTGAAGTACATTGTACAGTGAAACATCTTAATAATAAGCACTAATCCTTATACATGTATTTACCCATTCAATTATTCATTGTTACTACTGCATGTACATGTACACGACATAAAAGTATTAGCAGATGCAAATACTTTTGTCATTCAAAAGTTCCACAAAACAATCCAATAATCTACATGTACATGTACATGTACATCTACATCTACATATCGTACACAAAGTGTGACTGGATACTAATTTAATGCCAATTGTACACTTACTCTTTAATGTCAATCCCCACATGAATGTTGTCAATGATGGTAGCTTTGGGTCTCAGTGGTACGATGGGATAGTGTAATGGTATCAATAGGAACTCTGACAGCAAGTAAACCAAATGAGCCACATAGCCAAAAGCAACACCAATCTGATCAACTGTAGCAGATCCTGTAAGAATTAATAATAAGGATAATAACAATATGCCTTGTGCATGTACATGTACATTGTATATCTAGAATTCTGCCAAAATTTTGAAAAATACCCAGGGCTATAGCCCATGGTTTTTTCAAAAAATGGCTCCAAAATCGCTCCATTTTTTGCTATATTTTCTAATGCATATTGATGTCCTTATGCTGTGTAGAAAGTTTAAGCTGATTCTGACTTCAATTTTTCAAGTTATGGCCATTTTAAAATCCCAAAATTTTTGAAAAATATCCAAGGCTATAGCCCATGGTTTTTCAAAAAATGGCTCCAAAATCACTCCAAATTTTTCTTACATTTTCTGATGCATATTGATGTCCTTATGCTGTGTAGAAAGTTTAAGCTGATTCTGACTTCAATTTTTCAAGTTATGGCCATTTTAAAATCCCAAAATTTTTGAAAAATACCCAAGGCTATAGCCCATGGTTTTTCCAGAAAAATGGCTCCGAAATCACCCCAAATTTTCATTACATTTTCTGATACATATTGATGTCCTTAAGCTGTGTAGAAAGTTTGAGGCGATTCCAACTTTAATTTTTCAAATTACGGCCAATTTAATAAAATCCCAAAAGTTTGAAAAATACCCAAGGCTATAACCCATGGTTTTTCCAAAAAATGGTCCCAAATTCACTCCAAATTTTTTGTTACATTTTCTGATACATAATGATGTCCTTATGCTGTGTAGAAAGTTTAAACTAATTCTGACTTCAATTTTTCAAGTTATGGCCATTTTAAGAAGAAAAAAATGCCCAAAAATTCTTAGTAATTTTTTCAGCTCATCAAAAGTGAACCAAATAAAAGCAATCAATGAGGTACAGGACCTTAAATGTACATGTGTACGTGTATGAATAAGAATAATTTTTGATTTTGTAAGAGCTTAATTTGGCAAATTTGGTAATTCCATAGCCATTTGTCAAAATTAAATACACCATTTTGCACATGCTCAATGGCACATGGCCACAAATTCCCCAAATTCAAACTCGCCAATCACCGAGATTTAGCAATTCGCCAAATTTGGTCCCTCCAAAATTTCCTACTGACCAGTAGTGAATCCTTACCAGTTTCCAGAGGGTCTCCATTGGGTAGTGCCACATCACATATAGTGTAGGCGTCATTCATTTGTTGTATACAGAAAGTTTGTGATAGTTCTGATATCAGCGTCCGCTGTCTTAAGTACAACTGCCTCTGAGTCTTTATCAACTGATCCCTGACAATGAGAGAGAGAGAGAGAGTTAACTACCATACATACATGTACACATAATACATATACATGTACATGTACATGTACATTGAACACATAAATAACTAATACTAAACTATTTACAAAAATACATATACAGTATACATAATACATGTTACATGTATGAGTATCTGAGTTAAAAATAGATAGAAAAATAATAGAACATAATAGTATACAGTATTTGTGTACATGTAGTTAGTGACTGTACATACATTAATGTAGGTACGTGTACATGTAATTTTAATGGAGCTAAAATTTGGTGAACTGTTAATCAATTTGTGAGTTGGCTCTTTCTCTCTCACTATCTACATGTACATGTACATGTACATACATTGTACATGCATGTATAAAAGTACATGTACACATGTATGCATACATGTATGTGCAGGGCTTTCATTAATTTTCTCTCTCTTTCCCTCCGTCCCTATTCAAGTACATGTACATATGCATGTACCTTCTCTGTAGGAACATTAGATGATCTTCGTCAAAGTTGGACTGTGACTTTAATAAATCACTTTTCCCATTTTTTAGTGTCGTCTCTCTTTCATTTAAAGATCCTTGCAATTTAACCAACTTTTTGTTTTCTATAAAAAAACAATTATTATGATAAATGAAATTCTTTTTGCGAGACATTAAAACATTCTACCTTTTTCAAATGTTTCTCTTTTCTCTGCTAGTTGCTGTTTGAGTAATTCAACACGAACCTTTAGTCTTGAGAGCTGCTCCTTCTACAGTTAAAATGAAATAATCATTAAAATCTGAAACATTTACATGTACATGTACATGCATACATGTAAATTAATATCTTGTGATGGGACCAATCAGTTATACATGTAAGTGAAAGAAAATTTTACAAGTTTAGACAATAATACATTTTACAGATTTAAAATTTCCAAAATCAATTACCGTATAAGTGGGTTTTTTGAGGCAATTATATTTTGTAAAATCTACTACAATTCCAATTCGCAGATTTTAATTTCCCAAATTCTACCACGTGCGCCATATGGTACCATATTAATCCGAATCAGGAAGGAATCCACAAAAATCGCAAAATTTGTAACCCTAAAAAAACCTAAAGTACATGTAATTTCGCTTTATATGCCTGTGTAAATCAGTTTAAAAATTAAATTTAAAAACTTAAAAATTTTCTCCTGCTCGGTCTTTCTCTTATGCAATATGCAAATGAACATACATGTACATGTGCATGTACATGTACATATAACGTATATGTACACGTAGACATATTGTACGTGTACATGTACACATACATTACCTTTTTAAGAGATCCGGCCATTTTGAGTCTAGTTGCTTGAATCTCTGCTTTCTGAGTCTTTACTTTCTCCCTGAGACTAGTCAGTCTTTGCTGTTGATCCAACATCCTACAGAAACATGTACATGTATAATATACATGTACATGCGTGTACATGTACATGTAAAGTGTCAATTACTATTACATCATGTAAATGTGTTTCTTCAGTAACTCAAAAATTGTGCTTTTTTCTAAAAATTGGCTTGTTTTTAAAAATGATCATACATTAAATCGTAACTTCAAAATTATTCCTCAGAATCAGCTCAAACTTCCTACACAGCGTAATGACAACAATATGCACCAGAAAATGTAATAAAAATTGGGGGCGATTTCGAAGACATTTTTTGGCAAAAACCATGAGCTATTATAGACTTGGCTGTTTTATGAAATTTTGGCATTTTCTTAAAATGACTGTAACTTTTAAAATTGAAGTCAGAATCACCTCAAACTTTCTACACAGCATAAGGACATTAATATGTATCAGAAAATGTAATAAAAATTGAGGGTGATTTTGGAGCCATTTTTTGGCAAAAACCATGGGCTATAGCCTTGGGTATTTTTCAGAATTCTAGCGTTTTCTTAAAATGGCCATAACTTGAAAAATTGAAGTCGGAATCACCTCAAACTTTCTACACAGCATAAGGACATTAATATGTATCAGAAAATGTAATAAAAATTGGGGGTGATTTCGGAGCCATTTTTTGGCAAAAACCATGGGCCTTGGGAATTCTTCAAAATTTTGACATTTTCTTAAAATGACTTTAACTTTAAAAATTGAAGTTAGAATCAGCTCAAACTTTCTACACAGCATAATGACATTAATATGTATCAGAAAATGTAATAAAAATTGGGGGTGATTTCAGAGCCATTTTTTTGCAAAAACCATGGGCTATATATAGCCTTGGGTATTTTTCAGAATTTTAGCGTTTTCTTAAAATGGCCATAAATTGAAAATTTGAAGCTGGAATAAGCTCAACGTTTTGACACAGCATAAGTACATCAATATGTATCAGAAAATGTAATAAAAAATTGAGGTGATTTTGGAGCCATTTTTTTGAAAAAAACTATGGGCTATAGCCTTGGGTATTTTTCAGAATTTTAACGTTTTCTTAAAATGGCCATAACTCGAAATTTGAAGCTGGAATCAGCTCAACCTTTCTACACAACATAAGTACATCAATATGTATCAGAAAATGTAATTAAAAATTGAGGTGATTTTGGAGCCATTTTTTGGAAAAAACCATGGGCTATAGCCTTGCGTACTTTTCAAAATTTTGGCATTTTATCAAAATGGCCATAACTTAAGAAATTGAAGTCAAAATCAGCTAAATCTTTCTACATAGCAAAAAGGACGTCAATATGTATCAGGAAATGTAATAAAAGAGTCTCTCAATACTTACTTATTCAAATATTCCAATGAACAAGACTCACCAACCTACAAACCATACAGACACTACATGACACATGACTAATAAATACACTCACTTCTGATTTAGAAACTTCAATGAGAGAATTACGAGGAAGATACTCAACCAGTTGGTTGGTCCGACTGAAGTGAGGGGATCTTGGTAACCCACCCACCTCTGTATTACAATAGTAACCTTCAGCAGTGGCTACCACCACACTGTTTGATGGATAGTTGAGGTTATCTAGTCTACCAATCTAGGAATGAAAATAAGAATAAATAAATAAATAACATTAATACATGTACATGTAGTGATAGTGAAATGGAAGAGGTACATGTACATGTATAACAATGAATATATGTATTATACATTTAGTAGAAGACATTTGTGTATTGTGAATGCATAAAAATTCCTAAATATACACATACATGTACATTGTACATGCAAATATAAATGTCCTTAAAATGCAAATGCCTCCATATACACATGTAACCAGTAACCAGTGAATTATTAATGATTTATTGGTGAGAGTAATATACATGTACATGCATTTGGCAACTTTGTCTGTGGAATGTAATTTTATATTGACAAAAATTATTCTTTTACAGTATATTCTTAATTTTTTAATTCTAAAACTACACATGTACATGTATAACTATGGATTCCCAGTAGAGTATGGTTGTTATAGTAACTCACGCTGACTCCCATGAATCTGTATGTACTGAGATCAACAATCTTCTCAAAGCACATCATCTCCTCTTTAGACTCACCTGTGATAAGCCAAACCTTTATCTTAAACTCTGTTATTAGAATTATTACTGTTAAAGAAATAATAGTGTCATACAGTATGTACTGTGAAGAAGAGAGAGAGGGGGAGGGAGGGAGGGAAGGAGAGAGAGAAGGAAAAGATAAAGAAGAAGGAGGAAGGAGAGAGGGCCGTAAGGAAGGAAAGGGAAAGAGAAAGAGAAAAAAGGAGGGAGAGAAATGGAAGACAGATAAACACGCGTACAGTACATGTATAAAGTACAAAGAGAGAAAATTAAGAGAGAGGAGAAAGAGAAGACTACATGTACATGTACATGTACATTAGAAAAAGACAGAGGGTGTAAGTTGAGGATACTGTTAATTGTGACACTGTCTCCAAACTTCTCATATTGAAATGTGAGGGACCTCCATGTTGGATTCTATGACAACAACAACAATAATAATAACAATTAATAATAATAACAATTATGCCAGTATCAACTCACATATGTTTCTTCAAGGACACTGCTAGTGTACAACACTGCATTAACAAAAGAGAAAGAACAACTGTAAAACTAACATATATACATGCACATGTGCACATGTATGGTTGTGTCACAGTAGATATTAGAGTACTCTAGTGTCAATGGGTGAGTGAATGTGAAACTAGTCCACACTATTGTTTACACTATTGTCAACACTATTGGGTAATTGTTCACACAACAATTGATCTAGTATATGCATTATAGTGATCAAGAGTATAATGTATTACAAGGCCATGATGTCAAGAGTACATGTACTCTTGATTATGAGTGTATATACTAGAGTAGTGTCATACAATAACACCATTGAGTACTGTAGTAAGAGGAATTGACTATCATTATTAATGATAGACACATGAAAGACAGCAAACATATACATTGTAGGTACATGTATACAATGTAGGGATGGTACAGTATAGATAATACTAATTATTAACATAATACATGTACATACTGGTACACTTGTTTATCAGATCAATTATTGGGCGAAGCCCACTAAAATGAGTAGAGTTGGTTTGTATGTATGTACACGTACGTATTCCGTATCTCCTCTATATATCCGCACATGCCTTGCAGTGCAAAAGATTCTAAATTTCAATATTTCATTGAAAGTGGGAGTGGCCGAATGAAAATAAAATGGCGATCACCACACGGGAATCAGAAGTCATGATTTTCCTACTTCCTAGCAACAAGATAAGGCAAAAACACCGTCCAAAGACTTCTCCAACTGCTTGAAAAGGTTACAGGTGCAATTAAGGAACTATGAAACTTCTTTTTGTTGAGATAAACTGTGAAAATCAAACAAATGTCACATTTGTCACTGACAGCACTAAACTGGCCAGCCTTTTTATATCTTATGGCTATTTTAAAGTCAGTGTGGCAAGGCTTAAAGTAAAAAACAAGTCAGGAATTTTCTAGCAGCAACATAAAGTTGAGATTCTGCTTTTTCCCAGCTAATAATCTACAGAGGCTGAGCCCTTGAATGTTTTACATTGTTTCTAGTAATTACAAGTATCATTACTGTACAGGTATGCTGGTCACATTGTATGGTTTTATAAAAGTGAACAATTAAATTAGCAAATAATGTAATATTTAGCAAGCAAAGTTGAAATCCACATTTATTAAATTTTGATTTAAGAAATCTACAATATATTTTTATCAATATGTACTATAAAAGTGACAAGTTTACCATGTGACTGAAAACTTTAATTTGATACACATTATATTAAACATTGTTATTATTATTATTATCATTCAAATGCTCATACACTATCAATAATATTTATCAATAGAGAGGACACAGATTAATAACAATCAGTACATGTATTTGACATGTAAACACATTATGACTAAGATAGCACATTTCCTAATAATTCCAAAGGCTACAATAAAACATCATGAAAATGCAAACATGCCAAAAATAACTGAATTACATTACATTACAATTTCAGCTTTGATGTACATGTACATGTACATGTACATAGGTTTCAATTTACTAGAAACTTAAGATATTGCATCACATAAAATCCCCTGCACACACAATTAAAGGTAAATGGCTTCAAAAACCCTCACAAAATACTCATAATTATAAGTGGCCCCGCCCAAAACATGATTGACCACGCCCTTTAAATGGCCTACCTGTGTTGGAATGGCGTAGATCGTAGAGAGTGAATTTGACTTTGACAGCCAATGGATCCCACAGAATAGGCTCTGGGGGCTTGAGAGACCTCACGGCCAGACTCCTCACGTGACGCAAGCGACGCTATAAAGACAAATGAGAATATTACAAGAGGATATTACAATGTTGTATAATTGAATCAGAGTTTGAGGTTTCGTAGAGTAAATTAGTCTAAAGGGAGTAACCTGTTGTGTCCTGAGGTTGACGTGACGTGGAGGCCGAGCAATCCTTCTCTCTGTAGCCATTGAGCGAGTACACACTCTTCACACAATTTGACTCTTCAAAATTTTCTGCAGAATCAGCCACACCCATTAATATAATTAGCATCTGAACCGCGCCCACAAAAATGCACACCCACGCATATGAGTTCCCTGCATTCCTTGTACCGCAATGGCTAGTAGAAGAGTGTTTCGTTTAGGTAAGCCCTTAATAGAGAAAGGGGGACTGATAAATGAATGCATGTATTCTAGTACCAGCTAATGAAGTGGTGGGTCTACTGTAGGTGATATTACCAACTGTTTGTATGCATAGGCGGCTGCAGGATTTGACTACTAGTCGGGCATGGGTGTGGCACAGGAAATGGGTTGGGCGCGCGAAGCGCGCCGCGATTTTGGCCACACCCTTTTTACGCACCCTTTTTAGCGCAATTTTTTGGTAGCGAAGGTTATTGTAATAAAGTAGTGGGTGGTGTAGCTCCAACACTGACTTCTGTAGTGGTAATAGTACTCAGTGGCGGGTCTAGGGGGGGGCCCTGGGGGGGCCATGCCCCCCCCCCCAAATTTTTGTGGTGAAGTATAAAATTAGTTTTATCTATGTAAACTGTGAAACAGCTGCAGTGCTTGACTGTGTAAACAGTCTGTAAACCACAAAGGAGCTCATTTAAGAGGCCTAATCTTCTAAATTTTGACTTTCCAAACAAGCCTGGTTGACTGCACTCACTAATTATCCCACCCATATCATTAAGGCCCCCCCAGAAATTCAATCCTATAACCGCCACTGATAGTACTAGTAGTAGTATTAGTAGAGGAAGTAGAAGAATAGGGTGATGGAGAATGAGCAACAATTGACTGTACATCAACTGTAGCTGTAAAAACTGTAGCTGTATCAACCACAAGAGTAGACTGAGACTCATGATCATCAACTGATTCAGCAAGAGACTGACCTAAAATAAGAATATGAGATAATCTATATTATTGACTTCTATACTGTACTTACTAGGTTCACTTTGTAAACTGTTGTTCCTTTTTAGCAGGCTTGTTCACAAAGGACATAGTGAAGCTAGTCCAGGCTTTTAGACATTGCAACTGACATAAAAGAACACTGAAATAGCACAAAATAATGAAATGATTATGCTTTCTAGTGTTGCTGTGGTGGCCCACTGTGATTGGCACCAAAGTCTTACCACCTCCTCCTTTATTTAGTCTCTCTTCATCACCATGTTATCAGCCTACCATTTATGCATTCATAATTATAAGATTTTCATAAAAAATTGAAATTATAATTGCAATAACTGTTATTAACTATTAATTAACCATAGAATAACTATTAATTATGGTGATGTCACACTTCCGGTCAGAATTTTTGGTCGGGCATTGCCCCTAAATGCCCGACCCTGCAGCCGCCTATGTTTGTATGCATTACAGATATCAGTCATATGAAGTTGGTGTCTGATGTCTTAAAGGAAAGTCACTTCATTGATGCTGACTGGTTTGAGTTAGGAATGGGATTAAACCTACCTA